TGCATCCTGCAGGGGAGGCTCAGCCTGCACTGGCCTCTTTCCTGCAGGCAGTGCAGGTGCCAGGGTTACAGACCCATCAGTGCATCCTGCAGGGGAGGCTCAGCCTGCACTGGCCTCTTTCCTGCAGGCAGTGCAGGTGCCAGGGTTACAGACCCATCAGTGCATCCTGCAGGGGAGGCTCAGCCTGCGCATGCACGTTTGTTTGTTGGCCATGCAGCACGTGTATCCCTCTCCCCAGCTGCTTATTTCTGCTCCCTGCATTGAGCCAGCACTAATATTTGTAAGGCTCTGCAGTGAACTGGATCAGGGAAGGGACCTCATTGAAAAGTACCACGTCTTTAGTATGTAATCATGGCCTCGAAGATTAGTCACGGCTCTGGAAATTCCATTGAGCTCCACTCAACCCAAACATGTTAAGTGAGCTGTCTGACACTAGGTGAGCTGAATTACCTCTCTTATTTCTGTTTGCTGAAAATTAATTTCCGCCTTGTCATTTTTTGCTCCCTTAGTAACTGCATCTGTGCAAAAGTGAGAGGATATGATATTTGAAATAAATAGTTTAATTATCTCCTGCATGGTTTTGTTGCTGTCCTGTTATTAGTTACATCTTAAACAGTAATCCTGGCAAAACAAACAATTTTTAGAACTATTTAGTGTATAACGAATGTGCTACATAAGTAAAAGAAAGTATTGGAGGAAATTGTGTATATGTAATCACGGGTTGGGAATGCAGCTGAATAGTTAAAGCAGAAAGATTCCATTTAAAAGGGGGATGAGTGGTCCTGTTCAGAGACACTGATCTGTAATACACACCAGGCAATGTCTTTTAAAATCCAAGGGGACAGAAAATCCTGGGACCAAAGAAATGCAGCTTCCTGTCTCCGTAAGTTTTCCTTGGGTTTGCTTAAGTGATATAAAACCAAAAAAAGAAATATTCCCATCTTGTTTTTAGCACTTTGTCATGGCTTTGCCCCAGTTGGCAACCGAGCCCCACGGAGCCTCTTGCTCCCTGCCCTGCCGTGGGACTGGGGAGAGAGTCGGAATCACGGTTGATGGAACTTTTCCTCACGTAGCTTTTAAGATCTCACCTTCACAGTTCTACTATCAGTTTTCAAAATCAGGGTATGTGAATTCTGGTTTCTTTTAAAGGCAAGGGTACTTGTAAGTTGCATATGCTGTCTTGGAGCAAAGACAAAGTTTTCCAGTGTGAGTTCTTTCAGGAGAGGGGTGTGGAACTGGCAGTCTTGATGAAGGGGTTGCTTAGGAAAATTTTTCATCACAAGCATAGTAAATTCTCTTTGTCTTAGGTTCTTAATACTTTGTAAAATATAAAATATTACTAGTATGTAAGGTTACAGAGTATGAACTGAATCAATTGTCATGAGAAGAAAAATGTGCATCCTTTCCCAGATAGAAGTCTGAGCGTCACATTTTAGGTGCCAAATTTTTTATTTTCAGTTGTTTTTTATGTGTTGTATCAGGATATTGGAAATATCCTGCAGCTTACATATTCAGGGCTCTTCCTATTCGCCTAATTTTCTGGAAGTATCTACTGCAGTCACTAGTTTTACATGTGCTGTTCTCAGCCCCAGCATTCTCCAAGTGACCTGGAGGTAATGATTGTTTCAACTTTAACCTTGCTATTTGCACGCAAGCCCTTTACACGATCAATTTGTGTATGCAATAAGTTCAGACTTTGGCACTGCTTCCCAGAGACCTTTGCATCTCAGAGACCTGTTTCCTTACAGGGATTACCCCTGCTGGGGCAAGTATTAAATGTGGAAGGGCCGGGGATTCAGTGTCCCTCCATCCCTTTCCAAAATTGAGAAAAAGAGCTGATAGTTGCACAATTAGGTGCTCTTCTGGGATAATCTGACTGTGAGTTCTGTGAGACCTGTGCCAGGTTTATAGGTAAGTTACTCAGTGGGTATTTGCAGTGTGGTGGTGGGAAAGGCTTCCTTTGAAAATTGGCATATTTTAGAGATAATGGGATGTGAGAGAGCGCCAGTAAAGCCTGTTTAACCTTAAAACCATAATTACATGAAATTGTGTCCTTATTTTTCTATGTTCTATTCTCTTGTTTTCAGTTTACTTTGTGCATGTTTTATATAGGGGTAGGAAAGGGGTTATGGAGACTAAAGTATTATATGGGAAACTAAGTAAATCCTCTGGGAATATGTTTGTGACACAGAATTTTTGTAAAGACTTAAAAGACACAAGTGTCTGAGTGGAATCATCACGCTGCAGCTACCACATCTACTGTTGTAATACATACAGGTTTTTGTAAAGCAAAACACTCTCTGGGAATATTACTTACATGAGCTTCATACTCACTACCCCTTTTATTTTAGAAGCTTTATTTTCATACAAGCAAGGATCAATGCCTATTATGTGAAACCTGCCAATGAAAGCATATGCATGTGGAAACATGCACAAAACACAGAGAAGCCAGAAGGCAGTTTACTGCATGAATACTAGACATATTATTTAAAGTTTTTCTGTGCTTATAAAAAAAATCAGTTATAACCTTTTCAGTAATGAAAATATGAGTGTATTTTGACAGTCTTCAGAAATGGGTATGCTTGCTAAGGTACCAGTTAATCATTGACAAGAGCTGAATGATTAAGCAGCTGTAATTTACTTGTAGTGTTTGAAAGTACAAAAGGGTATGTAATAGTTAAAACAAGAAGCACTTAATTTATGTTTCACTAGCTGTTAGGTTGTTTTTATATAAATTTAGCTTAAAAGGCTGCTGAATTTTTCATACTGGCTGTAAATGTGGAAAAGGATGGTGCACTTTGGGCGATACCAGGCAGCTGTTGCCATGTTCAGAGTTCTGCTCCCAAGCCTTTCCTTTTCTTTCCTTTCCTTTCTTTTTTGTTGATGCCTCCTTAGGGAGACAAATGTGGTAGTCTCATTTGGATTGCTGGAGAAAGTTGTTTTCAGCTATCACAAACCCAAGGTACATCGAGGTTTCTTTGCACTTTTCCCTGGTCACAAAATCGCTCCATCTCAGGGATGGCAATGTAACTTTGTTTTCACAGGTCCATACAAGTGATTTCTCATTTCTCAGATTGAGTGTGTTCTGGCTATGTCAGGGACTTTGATAGATAACCAAGAGCAAACAGCACAGCTGGTTCCAGGTGTGACTGGGCTTACTCATGCTGCCTCAACAGAGAAATGGTACAAAGATGTTCAAGACTGAAAGTATTGCCAGAGAATAACTGGTGATGTTAACCAGGAGTGTTTGCAGTTGGTTCCTTTTCTTTCTTTCTTTCTTTGTCAAAGTTACGTTTTGTAAGGAGTCTTCATCTGCCAAACATCTCTGTATCTTGAGTCTTGGTGAGATTGCAGGTGTTGTTCTGAATGCATGCAGAAGGCTTAGCCATAAAATCTTTGTCAGATTATCTGCAGTAATCTGTGCCACTTGCCTTGGGTATGTGATCATACATTCCTGAAGAATCCAACCTGCCCTCAGACACTTCCAGGGATGGAGCAGCCACAGCTTCTCTGGGCAACCTGTGCCAGGGCCTCACCACTCTCATAGCCAAGAATTCCTTCCCAATATCCCATCTAACCCTGCCCTCTGGCAGTGGGAAGCCATTTGCCCTGTGTCCTGTTCCTCTACCCCTTGTCTGAGGTCCCTCTCCAGCTCTCCTGGAGCCCCTTTAGGACCTGCAAGGGGCTCTCAGCTCTCCCTGGACCCTTCTCTCCTCCAGGGGAAACCCCCCAGCTCTCCCAGCCTGGCTCCAGAGCAGAGGGGCTCCAGCCCTGGCAGCATCTCCAGGGCCTCCTCTGGGCTCATTCCAGCAGCTCCATGTTCTTGTGCTGTTGTTCCCAGGGCTGGAGGCAGCTCTGCAGAGGGGTCTCAGCTGGGGGCAGAGGGGCAGGATCCCCCCTCACTCTGCCCAAACTGTGGGATCAGCCCAGGGCACGGGGGGTGCTGAGGCGTGTGAAGCTTCTCACTGACAGCACAGCTGGGACAGAAACACACCTGTTGTCTGTAACTGATGTTGGGAATCACAGATAAATTCCCTTCATTGGTCTCCTAGGTATTCTTATTTGCTGCACTGTGTGATACAGAATAATTTTCCTTTTCTAGTTAAAACTACCCTGTTTCCAAGAAGTTGGGCAAATAGATTAGTACTAAGGTCTTTGTAGTATGAGATGGCAAGTTAGTGACAGCATCTCATTTTTTCTCCTACTCAAGAAGAGTGAGTGGAATATTGATGTTTGTTATTTCTCTATAAATTTTGGTGGGAAGTGCATAGTGCCTTCTTAGAAACACGGTTTGTAACTTTTCTCAGCAATGGAGAGGAAACAACAATCTACAGCTTGATCTTGTCATAACTTTCATTCATATTAAGTCTTTTGGGGAATTTCCCCCCTCCCCCTGTGTTGTTGATGATGCATAAAGCTTCCAGAGCAACAGAATGTTGTATAATATTCCACGGTTGGATTAGAATTCCTGTATCCAGTGTGTTGCAACTGGTTCAAGTGTTTAGAAAAAAATTAATATTCTGATTTTTTTTTTTAATTATTCTTTCACCAGTGTAAAGAAGTTTAAGTGACTGCTTTACTTGATCAAAATGGTGGACACTGAAAACCAGCTCTATCCCCTTACTCCCTTGGAGGAGGAGGATATAGACAGCCCTTTATCTGGAGAGTTCCTACAAGATATGGAGAACATTCAAGACCTCTCCCAGTCTCTAGGTGATGATAGTTCTGGTGCTTTGAGCTTAACAGAGTTCCAGTCACTGGGAAATGGTCCAGGATCTGATGGCTCAGTCATAACAGGTAAGAGAATTTTGGTTTATCACAAACCTTTCTTTTATAAATATAGTGATAGAAATTAAAAACTTACTTAAATTGGTTTTTATGATGAAGAGACACTAGAAATATATAAACTGATTCTAGCATGGTCTTTCAATATTTAAGTTTAAGTTAGTTTGTTAGAAAAATGTCACTGAAAAATTACTGTAGCATGAAGTTTCTGATGTAAATTGCCATTATTATCAACACCTTTTTCAAGATAATTTTTAAAAATCATTATTAGTAGCCAGTTGCAGTCTCAGTGCTCATACATTACATAGTCCAGAGCCAAAAACCTTTGTGAGAGGCTTTGCTGGAGAGATCAGCACAGGAATCACTGCAGGGTGTGGGACACTGGTGATGTCAGTGAGGTGTTCCTGTTAAACCTGGGGGGTTGCAAACCTTTTAGCTGTAGAGCCATTTGAAGTAGTTTACAATTAACCTTCTGGTTGGTTGACATTAGGGTTTGGGTTTAGGGGTTTTTAACTTTCAGTCGATTCCCAGCCTGTGATCCCTGTTCCACCTTACAAAACCTGCAGTAATAGAGCTGTGTGAGTTTGGAAAGGAGCAGGGGGAGCTGCCTCTTGGCACTATTGGCCAAAGGGATGTTTGTAGAACTATGATTTGGTTGCCTTTTGGTTGCAGACATTCTCATTAGAGGGGTGCCTTGTACAGGAGGAGTTATGATGTGCTTTATGTATGTCTGTATGTGTTTATAACATAGTCCTTCAGACAGGTTTTGCAATTATTTGTAAGTTTGTACAGGCCCTACAATGATTTAGATCACCTTCTAGTGTCACCTTCTCATTTGAGTATTCAGTGTTCATTGCAAAATGTTCTATTTTTGTGGTTAAAGAAGATGCAAAATGTAAACTTCCAAGGCTCAAATTCCATAAGGCAAGGAAAAAGAAACCACACTTTAAAAAAATTCTGGGGCTTAGGCTGTTCTTGATGACTCTGATGCCTGTGGGCTTGGCAGCACTGGCAATGCCGACTCTCAGTTCTATGCCAAGGTTTTTTCCAACATAATACTTGCTGACCTACATTCATGAGTGTTTCTTAATCTGTCTGTTAAAATAACACACCCATTAATTTGCTGAAGTCTTGTGGTGCAAGTTGCAAGATGGAAGATAGAAGAAATCCTGGCCTCAGAAAATATTTTCCTTACACAAGGTGGAAATATTAATTGAAATAATTAAGGTTGGAACTTGTTAGTTTTGTAACATCTTCATCTACTAGTAACACATCTGGAGAGTTTATTTCATTGTACAATTCAGAAATGCTTTTCCCATTATAAGCAAAACATAAAATATCTGAGTGTGGTGTGTATTTACTGAGTCCATTATCACCCCTCTAGTTCTTGTTTCCAGAGTCACTTCAGCAAAGCTTTTTGTTTGTTGACATTGTATGTCCCATCAAAATTAGCAAGGTACACCCTGTGTTTTGTGTGTGTTTCCACTGGTAATATGAATTATTTTTCAAAGACTTATGGTTAAATTATTAGTTCATTTAATGACTGTTAACTCAAGATTATTTTTTAGAAAAATCTCATTTTTATGTGGTTTTAATTTAATTTAGAAATTGTATCAACCTGGATAGTATAGTATTTATGAAGTGTTCCTTTTTCTTTTAGACACCCTTTCACCAGCATCCAGTCCTTCATCCATTAATTTTGCCACAGCTCCAGGTAGCATAGATGAATCATCCAGTGGAGCATTAAACATTGAATGTAGAATTTGTGGGGATAAAGCCTCAGGCTACCATTATGGAGTACATGCTTGTGAAGGCTGTAAGGTACAGTCATCGTTTTCTTCTTAAGAACCTAAATCACGTTGCTTTATTTACGGGGTAATACGAGCATAAACATTTGGCACAGAAATGTTTGATTGTGACAGTTCTAGCCATTACAATTATTTAAATATAAACGTATCTGTGATCTTTTTTCTGAAGTAAATTGTTCAGACACCGTAACTCAGTAGCAGACCTTTATCAAGTAGGAGCGATTTGCAATGATCATTTTAACACTGCTTTTCTGGATATAGTTAGTTAACACTAAAACAACTTAAAACACCAAACTGTGACCAAAAACGAAAGCCTTCCTGCTCCACTAGTGTTTGGTTTGTGTTGGCAGTATGGCTGCAAGGAGCGTGCCAGTCTGCTACGTCTCCATTGTAACAGTGACAAGTCCCAAATTTCTCATCTCCGCCCCATTGTGCCTGAATCACTTGGCATTGTGCCTCTTGTAGTTTTGGGGCCGGGGCACGTCTCTGGGGCAAATTACTCTCATCATTAATGTATCATTTTTGGGATAATATGGCCCATGAATTATAAGTTTCTTTTCTTTTTCATCTGATGTTTTAGTTTTCGATTTTTTTCTGCATTACAATACGAGAGGAGAGAAGTAGTCTCTGTGTACAGTTTTCTTTCATGTCAGAATATGATCACGTGAATATAAATGGTAGGGAATAATGCAGAGTATCTGCTGGAGGTGGGGAACCAGTCCCCAGCCAGGTGTGTCCCCAGCCTAAATGCCATGTTGTTGTCATATGACACACAAGGTTGGGTTGCTGTGGGTTTGCTGACCCCGTGGTTTCAGAGTTTGTAGCCAGCACTGAGACGTCGTGGTGAGAGCTGTTGGGGTATAGGCTGTGCTGCAACACTCAGCTGTGTGTCCTTGGCACTTCTGTGCCCTGTGCTGTGTCCTCATACCCCTCACATGCGCTGGGTGAAGAAAACCTGGTGATTCTCTGTGTGTGTGTGACTTACACTGTGGAAGATGAAGGGTATTTCTGGCAGAGGACACTGAGAGAACACGAACAAAAGCAAAATGTGACTGTTTTGCTTCATCCCTAAGTGCAAATCTGCTCAGGTACTCTGGGTTCTTGGTTCTTTCCCCCAGGAGAGAGGGCTGAGAGCTGCTCCCTCCTTTCATGTTCTCCACTCTGTACCTTCCCTTGGACTGCCACTGCACTGCGTGTATTCGTGCTTCTGGACAGGTTACACCTTGGGAATTGTTCTGCGAGTCACATCAATAAACAAGGAAAGAAAAAAAATTACCTGTGTGATTGAAGCTTAATAGTCAGCATTCTTTAACGTTACATATTGTTTTTTCAAACTTTTTATAGGGCTTTTTTAGAAGAACAATTCGTTTAAAACTCGTCTATGATAAATGTGATCGCAACTGCAAAATTCAGAAAAAAAATCGTAATAAGTGCCAGTACTGTCGTTTTCAAAAGTGCCTTTCAGTTGGAATGTCACATAATGGTAGGTAAGAGTGCCCTTAATTTGTTTGTTCCCACCCAGAGCCTGCTGCTGGAAGCAGGCACTTGGATAGTGTTTTTACTCATACACGTGGATTGAACCTCAGATTTTTTATGGGACAGATTGCGGTGGGGGACACCAGTTTCCCTGGTGGGTTCATGTAGTTGGTACAGAGCTGCCAAATGTGCCACTACGAGCTTTACACAGTTGTGCTGGATGTCAGTTTGTCCATATGAATGTTCATTTATTTGCTTTCTTCACCCAGAACTTTGGCACCAGTATTCCAATTGAAACAAATTTCAGTACTGGAAGAATTCTGATCAAGGACTTTGTAGAGGAGTAGGAGGAGAACAACTAGCTCATTGTGAGAGGGAATGACGTAGGAAAGCAGACTTCATTATTTTTCAGGTTACAGTGCAAAAGCTCTTGGGCAGATGGTTCAGAAAGTGGGGAGGGGGTGGGAGGGTGAAGGTCTGTGCTGGCTGTGGCACAAGAATCCAGTAGGTTGTTTGATAAATAGAATGGTAAAAATTCAGAGCATTTAGATACCCAGTTTAAAAGTTATATTGTTGTTTGTGTTAGTGATTCAAGATAAGGGTGGTAAGCCTGTGGCTTACAGGCCAGTTTCAACCCACAAGGCAGGACACAGCTTGTTGAGCAACATGGGTGAAGAGGGAGAGGCCAAGCCATGAGAAAGCACATTTTGTTGGCCAGATGACTGTAGTTTGCTTTTCCTACATAGGTCAGGTATTGCCAGGGCTGAACTTGGGGGCAGGTGCAATTTGGAAGTGAGTGAAAATGCTGGGCTAGGTGAGAAGCTGTGGGTTAGGAGACAAACTTCCTAAGGAAACTGTGCAGTCCGGAGAGCTGGGGTGGGAACATGGTTGGGGAAGCTGCTTATGACATTGTAGTCAGGAGTCCCAGCAGGAGGCATCAGGAGAGTTGACTTTCTGGTTCTGCTCCCTTGTGGTGAGTCCTGACTGAGACTGAGGTCCTTTGGGAGGTGGTTGATAGTCTCTGCAAGACTGGTGATAACCATCCTGAAGCAGCAGACTCGGGGAGAATGTGCCAGCCAGCAGAGTGACATCTCAGGGGCGGGAGCTGAGCAGGGAGCTGTGCCAGTTGGCAGGCATTGACATCCATTTGAAGCTGTTTCACTCTACTAAGACACTGGCAGTATTTCTCAGGAAAAAAGCTAGAACTAAATTTACAGCCACGACCTTAAAACTGTACGTTTGGGTTTAGAGCAGGTGTTCTTCCACTTTTCATTGATTGCTGTGATGACCCACCCGTAAGGGGAAAGAAGCACCTAAGCCAGATTCCAAACAGGCCTTCCATGTTGGACTTCCACTGAAGTCCACAGCTGTATGTCAGATCATGTCGAGTCACCTCCTTCATGAGAAGATGCCCTGGGCACATGTAAGGCCTAGTGCTGCCCATGCCCTGAATGGCTCAGTCCAAGCAGTGAGGTCCCAGCCTGGGGGCTGAAATGCAGAACGAGTCACTGGCTGTATGAGCCATCTCAAACCCTTGCACGCCTCCCACGGGTAAGGCCCTTTCTAAAGTGGAGCTGGTTTGGTTTGAAACTGAAACCCAAGGAGGTGGACATACCTGGTTTATAGCTAAATGGCAAGAGCACTTGCCCAAGAACCAGGAGACGTCTGTACCCAGGCGTGTTCGGAGCCAGCAGCGGGTCTGGGCCGGGCTCTGCTGCAGCTCTCCAGCTGGTGTGTGTCCTCCCTGCCAGCTCCTGCCAGGAGTTCACTCGGCTGGTTACAATTCCCAGCCCAGACTTGGAGTTTCACGCTGGGAGCTGTAGAACACAGTAAGGAGAAAACAAAATACGAGTACCTAGGAAATGTAGGAGGGAAAAGGCATGTGTTCTACCTCACTGCAGATACCAGTTTGTGTGCTGAAACATCTCATTTCCTAATACACTAACCTACTGTATTAGTCACCACTAACTGTGTTGGAAAGGAGGAGATTTCTTCACCTCTACCTCAGTTTTTCTAGACAGGAAGTCTCACTACTCTAATCAGTAATGGTAAAAGCCTTTAATTTCTTTATAACTGAAGTTTGTTTTACAATTGTATCTTCCCATCAGCAATACGTTTTGGAAGAATGCCAAGGTCTGAGAAGGCCAAGCTGAAAGCAGAAATTCTAACAGGTGAAAATTACGTAGAAGATTCAGAAATGGCAGATCTTAAATCACTTGCCAAAAGAATTCATGATGCCTACCTGAAAAACTTCAATATGAATAAGGTTAAAGCCAGAATCATCCTTGCAGGGAAAACCAATAACAATCCGGTAAGTACTTTTTCTGTTACTTTAGGATAAACCTGGCAAGTACAAAAGGTGATCATAATAATTTGTTAAACTCTTTAGCAAATCTTTTTGAAAATACATATCCCACTCCTACAGACAAGAAATATTCAAAAAGAATACCTGTACTAATATGGTTGTTTTTAACCCCTATCAGAATAGTAAGAAGCTTTAGGAAAGTCAGATGATTGAGTTGTAAGTGGAAACTCATAATATTAAATGGTAACAGACACACAAGGGAATGAAAATTAATTCTTAATCAAAAAATAAAGTGACATCTGAATGTGAATAGCTCTTGATAGGGGGGAAATGGTTCAAAATCAATTTCCTATTATGACAGTGGGAAAAAAAATTATAATGTTTTTCTGTCACAAATGCCAGAATAAATACTATTATCTTGTAGGCTGTACAGGAGCTCTGCATGACTTTTATTGTAATCAGAACAATATTAATAGCAGGAGGGGAAAGAAAATGAGTTTGTGATTTGTTTCCAGTGCTGGCCATTTCCTCCCCCAGCCCTCCTGCTCTTTACTGTACGGTTACTTTGAGAGGCAGGAGCTGGGTTGTGAAGACACATATGCTGTAGAAGTTATTTTTCTTTCAGGATAATATAGGCAAGATCTACCTAATGCTATCCACCTGCTTTTTTTTTGTAGCAGAGGAAAGTGTATAATCGTTGTAAGGACTGGCTTGTTTCACTTTTTGCATGTTTATTAAGTTCAGTTGCGATTTTTGTTACTTATATGTAGAAGATAAGTATCTTATTTTACCAACAACTTCCGTTTCAGTAAAAACTTGCAGGGAAGAGGTTTTTGTATGCCATAATGAAAACCATGTAAGTGTGGGGATGAGTGTTACAAAAATTGCAAGCAAGCTGTCTTCTACATTATGGAATTTGGCATATTGCAGTCTAGTCTAGCCAAGCTTACAGCTTTCTGCATTAAAAGAGAGACACGTGAATTATCTCAGGCTTTTTCATTGGATTAAAGAGATGTATAAAATTAAGCACAGGCTTAAACATTTTAGAGGGTAGAAGCTGCCATGAGGCTACAGCAAATACCACCTTTAACACCTCACTGAGTGGGTTTCTGCAGAAAGTCCCTTTCCTGCTTGTCCCCAGCTGTCAGAACCATAAGGCACAAGGTGTGTCACACATGCAGGGCTGGGTCCCAGAGCACTGCAGCCCAGTCCTTGTGTTTGCATGTGTGTGGTCACAGCCACACACCGAGCAGCCCGTGGTGCCTCACGTGTCAGGGGAATGTACACGGAACAATTAGGGAGAAATCAGACCTACCGTGTTAAGCTTCCAAATTTTTCAGTGTGCAGGGAAAAGGAGAAGGTTTTTAACCTATTTCATCATCTCTTGAGAAAATGAACGTTTTAATTTTCTTTCAACTTTTTAGCAGAAAAACGAATTTTGAAAGAAGGGGTTTGTTGCTTGTAATTAGCAACCCACCTGTTTTGAAGCTGTGCATTAACAGCTGATTTCAGTGAATCCTAATTTATGGCACAGCTGCAATTAATTTCAGAATGAACAAGCGTTTCTCGTGATACTAAGGTGTAATTTTTTTAAATTTAGCTCCTAAATCCTTGGCCATACCTTTTTTCTGCATAGTGAAATGATGATAAATTCCAAAAAACTGTGTGTAAGGTAGTGTACATCTTTGAAAGGATTTAGAGATGTGCTGGGTTTCTTGCTTTGTCACTTTGCACTCATATCCACCTTGCCCAGAGAAAGTTCTGCTCTGTGCCAGTGAGAGATGGAATATGTAGTTGCCATAAGCATTTCAAAAGTGGACAACCATAGGAAACTCACCTGTTTGACAGTTTTCTGAGTGAAATAAATGAATCCTATGAGTTTCTAACAGACCACCAAGTGCTTCTCGTGGCATTTAATCTGAGATGAGCAGAACAGCAGAGGAAAGGTGCTTGGTGTGTATGGAACTAGATTTCTGTTCAAGGTCAGTTGCAATGACTCTACGAGGCTGGGAAGCTTTGGGGTTTGTTGTTTTTCTTTAGTGGATTGCCCTTTGTTTTGATTATTGCTCTGCAGATCTGTAACAAAATATTTTTGAGTTCTGATTATTCTGAAGAAAGGCTGAATGCTGCTCTTGATAGGACGTTTTGAGAGAGTGGCTTGTCAGTTTGTAACGCACATACCTTTCTAAACAAAGGGGGCTATGGAAAAGACCAAATTTTGTGTTGTCTGACATTCTGGTGGGATTCTGTGTTTAGAGATGATGCAGCACCAGCTGCAGTTAGAAAGGTGGGACAGCTGGGACATGGTTTCTGAAAATCTGATAGCGAAACACAGGAGTAATGCAGGGTTCACATTCCGGTCCTCTGTTGAAATGACTGTCTGTATTCCCCCTAGGACACCTCAGGAAAGCATCACGATGTGCATCAGGTGTAGTTAGTTTAGGAATCGATAGGAGTGTAGACAGAATAGCCTGGGCTTCTGGAGAAGGTAATACAAGTCCTTTGCGAACCTTCTGGGACTTGCTCTGAGATGGGTATATGCATACTAAGCCCAGGACTGCTGGAGTTTCACTATAACTGTTAGATCAAACTAAATTAAAGACAGGCCATACCCTTTGCAGTGTTGTTTGCAGAGCAGACTTGTTAGGTATTGCAGTTTGTAGTTCTGTCATGCAGTGTTTCTCTTGGTGCAGAAATAGGAAAGATTAGCACGTAAATCAAAGTTCGTCAAAATTCCTACTCTTTAGGAAGCCAATGATTAATAGCCTTTATTTAATAACTACATTAGTGGTTTTTGTTTTACTCTGTAGCCATTTGTTATCCATGATATGGATACCTTATGTATGGCAGAGAAGACCCTGGTGGCAAAATTGGTAGCCAATGGGATTCAGAACAAGGAAGCAGAAGTTCGAATCTTCCACTGCTGCCAGTGCACATCTGTAGAGACCGTCACCGAACTCACTGAGTTTGCCAAATCCATCCCTGGCTTCTCCAGCCTGGACTTGAACGACCAAGTGACGCTATTAAAATACGGGGTTTATGAAGCCATATTTGCCATGTTGGCCTCTGTGATGAACAAGGACGGGATGCTGGTGGCCTATGGGAATGGTTTTATAACCCGGGAGTTCCTGAAAAGCCTGAGAAAGCCATTCTGTGATATAATGGAGCCAAAATTTGATTTTGCAATGAAATTCAATGCACTGGATTTGGATGACAGCGATATATCCCTTTTTGTTGCTGCCATCATTTGCTGTGGAGGTAAGCATTACATATTTGTTCTCTAAGGCAGTACATCTTACAATTTCCCTAACATGAATTAATAATTTTAATGGAAAAGCTTCTACCCTTCTTGAAGATTCACTTCTACCTCTAACTGCACTTTCATGAGTCATTATAACATTATGACATGTATTCTTTTGCTTGTTTTGAGAACAGATCGTCCCGGTCTCGTAAATGTAGGACACATTGAAAAAATGCAGGAGAGCATTGTGCACGTACTGAAACTTCACTTGCAGACCAACCATCCTGATGACACCTTCCTCTTCCCAAAACTTCTCCAGAAAATGGCTGACCTCCGACAGCTTGTCACAGAGCACGCTCAGCTCGTTCAGATAATCAAGAAGACTGAATCTGATGCACATTTACACCCTTTACTACAGGAAATCTACAGGGATATGTATTAAGGATTTTTAGTATTTTTTTCACAATATTTAAAGACACAGAAATACAGATGGGAGCAAAACTACTTGCACAGTCACGTGCTGTTCACTCAGCCCAGAGCAGGAAAAATCTAAGACTGGGGAACTGGAGTGTTACACTTCTTTTGGTTTGGGATCTTTTGCCTTCTTTTGAAAGAGTTCTGCAAAAAAGTTCTGGTCAGAGTGCTCAATGAAGTGTCTTACAATGGTTCTTTTATTTGGAAATTTGAAGATTGGTAAGGAATACATATTTGTGTAATAAATCAGAATATTAAGTAACAGAAATGAACAAAATTTTATTTCCTCTTGGCTTAGTCATTTTAGAATTAATATAACAAATTCAGCCATCTCCCTCCAGGTGTATGCACAATCAGAAAGACAATGCACTTTTGCCTAATGGTAATTACTGAAACCAGCTAACAGTTTTTCCTAGTCTAGATGTACCAAATGGCTGGATATTACTGTCCATACACTTCTTAAAGATTGGAAAGACCTTTGATCCACTGCTGCTTTAATTCCATTAGATGATGCACAGGCTTCACATAGTGTTACCTTGGCATACCTTAGGATTAGCATGTTTAAAAGATGGTTCTTTTATGAAATGAAACAAAATCCAAATAGTTATCTAAAATACTGCAGAGCTGCTCCAATGGGTGTTTCTTTGAAGAGTAAACGTGATAAAGTGATGGAACTCTTTTTTTCGGAAGTGTTTTAAGGAAATGTGGAAATGTCCCTGAAGTAAAATGTATCATATACCCTGTATATTTTGGAGAACTTGTTGCAGTTCAAGATGCAGTTTTGAATTAGAAATACTCTTTTGAATTAGCAAGAGTTTTGGAGAGATTGAAAAATCTGATCCTAGCCCAGAAAAAAAAGAATTTCACCTTCACAGCATTCTGCTGCAGTGATTCCTGCTGACTGTGAAGGAATGATTAGATAGAAAAAGCACCTTCTCATACATACACACAAGTGTATTATAGTTGTTTGGACCTGTTTGCTTTTCTGATGAATACACTGCTTCATTTTTTCCAATTATCCACCTGGATATATTACTTTCTATTCCTCCTTAGGCCTTGTTGATAGAAGTATTCGCTCCGTTGTTTTGTCCTCGGGGATAAGGTGACAATATTACCAAGAACAGTGTCTGTAGGTGTCGGACTGTGTAATAATAGGAAAGACAGCACAGTTGAGAGTAAGTCTATCGTGTTCCTAAGATAAACTCTGATTTTTACAATTGCACCTTACTCCTGATACAAAATAAGCCATAAGGAAATGTCCTCATTTCTTTAAGGGCTCTTTCCTCAGACAGTACTGCCCAGAAGTGACAGCTGCATGCAAGGCACTGCTATTTCTGTTCCTTTTTGTTTCTTTAATATGGTAACTGCACATTATTATTTCCTAATTTTACTTTCTGTTTCATAGCACCAAGGTCTCAGGAGTCAACCTGAGCATTTTCACTACAGCTGAGCTTTCAGTGGCACAGGAGGACACTTTGTATTTGTTTAATTGTACACATTTGGAAACACCAGAGTCTTCACTGCAAGAACTGAGTGAGACTGATGAAATGAGAACATCACAGTGTGATCCCTATCTGAGTGGCAGTGCTTGTTTCTGTCCAGGCCTATGGACACTGGATAAATTACAGGTTTAAAGGCAACTTGGGGTTTATCTGGGAGGGGGTCATGAGCAGAGGCTTTAGCGTCAGGTATATTTAGTGTAAAATACTGAAGCATAGGCCTCAAATTTTGTGACCATCTAGGGCAGGATAGGAAGAGTAAATGCATGTGCACAAAACTTCCCTTGGCTGTTGCCAACCAGCAGCAGGAAGAACAGGCCCCAGACACTCCATCGAGAGGCCGTTGGCCTTGCCAGGAACCCGTGGATGGGAAAAGGGCTGCCTTTTGTGTCTCAGAGCAGCAGGCAGAGTGCCCTCAGACACACAGACAGGATTTCAGCTGAGCTGCTGCTTCATCCTCCCAGTCAGCCCCGTTGCACTGAGGAGCTATGGGCTCTAGGCCTACAACATCCTGCGTGGAAAGAATTGATACACAATATTGCCAGTGCAAAAAATTGTCAAAACATCAGCCCTTCTGGGCTGGCATACTGAAACTCTAGCAGCCAGCTGTTACGTTTATCTTCTGAAAAAAAAAAGGGTAACTTGAATTTTTTTTCCCACAAAGCTTCGATTTTTGCAAAGGGCAGATTTCACAGTTGTGTTCCATAGTCTGGGTGTACTCAAGGTCCTCAGGAAAACCAGACACAGTCAGTGTGGCCAACAACTATTCTTTCTGCTCTTGTTCTCAAAGCTGGCTAAAACACTTTAGTGAAACACTTGAAAAATGTGGAAAATTTAATAATTTAAATATTTAATAATAATAAAACCTAATAACTTAAGAATACTTAAATTCTCAGCAAAGCTATAAAGAATTGAAAACAGAATAACTCAGTTCAAGACTTAACATTTAGCTATCTTAGCAGCTGCTTGTTACAGGGTCCTGTTATCAGCAATAGAAAAGCACATAATTTTTTTGTTATTTGAAAACCAGCAAGCAATGTTTGACTAGTTCCTTGGACACTGAAGTTTTATTTCTGTTTTAAATTAAATTGCAGACCTTTATTGAGAAAAAAAAGAGAAAGAACACATCTCTGAATTACAGAAATATGAACGAGATGTTAACACAGCCTAAAATTCTGGGTGGGTTCCACTGCCCACACTGCTGCCCTGTGCACATTCCCACAGTCACTTTAAGGAGTGACACAGGGCACACAATTCCCTTCCTGAGCGTTAAGGGGCAAAAGAAGTTCTTCATTTCTACATTACGCTTTTAAAGAATTGCATTTGCTCCTTCAGGAGGTGTCTGCAGCAGGCTTTGGCCAAGCAGATTTTAACTCAGTTTGTGCCCTTTTTTTTAAAGTTTGGAATCTGAACTAGTCTGAGATCTATTTCTGATCTATCACTTCAGCATTTGCCCTGTGTACAGATCATCTAGTATTTTAAAATACCCCTTCTATGGAGGGAAATAAAGTAATCAGATTTTAGGATTTAAAATATATTAAAGAATTACTGTCTTGTAAAGTACAGTTTGGATCAGATTCTTACCAACATAACTTGTTTTACTGTCATAGCACAGAAGAGCTCGGGTTAGCAACCAGGCACCACAAACAGCTTAAGCCAAGAGACAGCAGATGGATAGAGAAATATCCTGGGAGACAATGGTATGACATAAGTTTTCAGCAAACCTACAGCTTACTCATTTTTGAGGGTTGTTTGGGGGGTTATTTATTTATTTATGGGGGTGACCTAGGTACTTTGACAGAGGGGAAGGAAAAAAAGGAAGGTTTTGTGCCAAGTATTAGGGAAATCTGATGTTTGTTCTTCTCTCCTTCTGAAATATTTTCTTTAAAGGTATTTTTTAAAAATCGGTTACTTTGTACCATTTTAAACTTTAAATCCCACTTTGTTTTAAGCACAAATTGGCACATCGTAGGAAAGCTTCCACTTACAGAAACTGCATCTTTTGTAGCATTTAAAGAAACCACATTTCGTATTTAATTGCCATTTCCATGTGCCTTTGAGCTTTGGTTCGGAGCTGAAGTGTTGCCAGAGAGCAGAGTTTTGCATTGTTTCTGTCCTGCACAGATTTCGGAAATACCAGCGGCTGCACTAAGCCCGTTCTCATGAGAGAGCTGGCACAGGGCTGCACATCAAAGAGCTTATAATAAGCATCTAAACATTTGTTTGTTTATTCAAACTGCTGAAACTTGGGGAGATTTATTCATCACGAGAGCTGGGGCACATATGATTGAATTTGGATTTCCTCTTCCTTTCTGATGGGGAGCCTGGACAGCCTTGGGCACCACCTCAGGCAGAGCCCCTGAGGAAGATCCTACCGTGGCTACAGAGGAACAGTTCCAGCTCTGTCCCTCCTGAAAGGCTCCCCGGGACTGAGCTGAAAATCTGCAACTGCACTTCACAAATGCATTTGCAGCTGCTGTGATACTGTTCAAGCACAAGGTCTTACAAATAATGGTCCTTCCCAGAAACCCCTCATCCTTTAGGAAGTGTTGGATCCGGTGGAGCGTGGTATCTGGTGCTTGCTTATATCTCAAGTGCTTTCCTGATAATCAGTTGCATATAATTTTTGTATCTAGGTTTATTCAGCTTTATTACCCTTCTTTTACCAGAGATTTAAATTATATGTGGGTTTGATCTCAGATTATTGGCATTGTTATGTGTTGTGGGATTTTTTTAATTTAATGTAATACCATTTCTTCATGTTTCAGTTTGTAAACTACAAGAATATAATTGCAAGGTATAAACTTTGACTAAATTAATTACGGAGGTGCTTAAAGAAAAATTTGTAAATTATTTAATTTAAATATTTGTTACATACTTTATCTTGTGAACCCTTTTGTACAGTGAGGAAATATTTACTTCTATGGGCTAAGGATGAAGAGGCTGAAGTCAAAGACAAATTGCTATTTATTCCTGTCTGGTCTTTATTGCTGTATCGTTTGTGAAGAACCATCACAAATTCTGCAAGTTACCAGTGTTTGGTGTTGACAGTTGTAACAAAAATTTAAAATATATTTTCACATAGAACATAGACTTCCTTTTATTTGATTTTAATAAAAGCAAGTCTAGTTGAGGAAGAGCTGTAATCCCAAAATCGAGGTTTTTAACTTGAGTTAACCAATACAAAAGTTAGTTTGTAGAACTGAATTAATCTTTGCTTTGCAGCCTGGTAGCTCGTTTTCCTTTGAAGTCTGAAAAGAGCTAAAAAAAAGCTGCACTCAGTTGGTGTGCCAGTGCTGGTGTTTTCTGAGGAACTGACTCGTGGCTCACTGGCAGTGAGAGCGTGTGCTCAGGATTATTCCCTGCCCCCTGCCCTGACGGCGAGCTGCAGCTTTGGTAGATGCATTTTCAAACCTGTGGTTTGGTAGTGCAAAACACAATGCTGAAATGCCACTATTGGCTTTCCTATAGGAGTGTTCCTGTAGGATTTTAAATAGAACTGAATTTGGAGTCTGCTCGTGGGGATTGTGTGTCTTGTGATGCAGGTGTGCCAGTCTGTGCCTCCAGCACGCTGCTGAGGAAATGAGATACAGGGACAAAGGTACCTTTCAAAGGTATCTACCTTTTATCTTGTTGTAATCCAAACACAGCAGTTACCACAAGCACAATCTGTTACAAGTGCTCTAGCAATCGTTTGTACTTCCTGCCTTTTATTTGTAACAGAAAATTTGATTTCCTCAAATTGCTGCAACCTGACATATTCACCTGATCAGTGTCACCATAGAGGTGTGTTGTCTCCTGAGGCATTTGTGTCACGTCTGTCAAAGCTCTACTGGATTCCCAGTGCTCACCTCCCTCAGTCCCGCTGGCAGCAGGAACACGTGTGAAAGGTACTGATGGAGCCACTGCTTTACACTGGGACACAGACCCGCTGTAACTGAGCCCACCTGAAGGAGGGTGTCTCCTCCTTTCTTTTCTCCAGTGTACTCACAGAGGTTTTTTAATCTATTTTCTGCTTCTGAAGCTGGGGTGGTTTTTTTTCCTTGAGCTCCTTCACCGATTGTGTCAGTCGATCTTGTCAGATTCCATTGCGAGGGTGTTTCAATACAGAATTCCTATTGCAAGGACCTCAGTTCCAGATGCGCTGCCTCTGCCAGGGGATAGGCAGCATGCATGAAAGAGACTACTCTGATTACAGGCTGGACCTTAAGTAAGGACTGCAAGATCAAGCAAAAGGTACTTGAAGTTGTTTTTCAGTATTTTGGTATATTTTCTCAGGTTGGATATGCAGGTACCATAATCCCTATCGTGGTAAGGACACCAGCCTTATGCTCAGTGCAGGGAGTTTCACGGCATTCTTTACACTTGAAAGAAAAAAGATTGGCAGGGTGGAGAATCCTGACCCACGGACATACCGGCAAGCACACGAGCAGCGTGTTGCCGCCGTGTTGCTGCCGTGTTGCTATCATGTTGCTGTTGTGTTGCTATCATGTTGCTGTTGTGTTGCTGCCGTGTTGCTGCCGTGTTGCTATTATGTTGCTGTTGTGTTGCTATCATGTTGCTGTTGTGTTGCTGTCGTGTTGCTGCCGTGTTGCTGCCGTGTTGCTGCCGTGTTGCTGCCGTGTTGCTATCGTGTTGCTGCCGTGTTGCTGCCGTGTTGCTGCCGTGTTGCTGTCGTGTTGCTGTTGTGTTGCTATCATGTTGCTGTTGTGTTGCTGTTGTGTTGCTGTCGTGTTGCTGTTGTGTTGCTGTCGTGTTGCTGCCGTGTTGCTATCGTGTTGCTGCCGTGTTGCTGCCGTGTTGCTGCCGTGTTGCTGCCGTGTTGCTGTCGTGTTGCTGTTGTGTTGCTGCCGTGTTGCTGTCGTGTTGCTGTCGTGTTGCTGTCGTGTTGCTGTTGTGTTGCTATCGTGCCGCCTGGAGTGCGGCGTCCTCAGCCCATCTGGGATGTGCTGCAGAGCCGGGCAGGGCTCCACACCCCGGGGGTGACTCACCCACACACTACACAGTGCTGTCCCCACACAGCACGTCCCCACGGGACACAGTGCCTTGGCCCCCAGGAGAGGAGCAACATCCATGGCTTCGGTTGCCTCTGTGGCGATAACCAGTCTAATCGGCCTTCAGCAGGATGTGTTTGCACAAGAACTCCCCCTCTGCAGCTGGACAAAGTCTGCCTTAGGAGCTTCTGGGGTGAGCTGCATCCTGTGTGGCTCCTGCTGTTTCCTACTTGCTCAGAATCTTCTTTAGGAATGCAACACCATGGCTTAATTACGTCATGATGTTAAGGCCCCCTCGCACATCTTAACTGGTCTGTTAGCTGGTATGACACAGAAAAAGCACAGTGTTGTAATGCTGCCAAACCCTAATCACTAGAGCTAATGAGTGTTTTATTAAATCAAAATAGCAATATTAAAGAGGAAAAAAAACCACCAACCAGCTCACTGTTTCCAGTCACCTGTTTTTAGAGGTTTGGATACATTTAATTGCAGTAAATGCAGAACTTAGAAAGAGCAGACATTTCTTGCATGGAGTAGTCAAAGCTAATTCTCATGGAATGCTTGTTTCCCAGCAAAAACCACTAATTCAAGCCAAGTTCCCAAGTTTCTCTCTGTCAGAACAATGCAAATGACACTTCCAAGGACAAATGAAAGCTCTGGTCTCACAGGGATTTTTAGGAAAGAAAATGTATCTTGCACTTGTGAATGTAAAAGTTACATTTAGCTAAATACAATGACACTTCTCAAACCTTACCAGCCTACTGATCTAGGATAAAAACTTGAACTAAACATTTTTTTTCTTTTTTACATTCTGATTTTTTTTGTCTTCTTTAAAAATAAGAGATTGAATTCACAGTGTTTGTATAGAGCCTGGTAGGAACCTATGTGCTTTAAAAAAAGTAATCCTTTCAGACTGAATGTAAACAACCTTAATTTGAAATACGGTTTTGCCTTAATGGTTGTAAGAAAAATAAAGTATTTTTAAAAGTGAATTTAATGTTCTGTGCTAATCTTTTATTTCCAGGAAAGGAACCCACTGCAAAAAGGTATCTGCAATGTTGACTTCTAACATGGATCTTTTTTTCCCACAATTAGAGACATATATATATTTTATGTCTTAAAGCACTTGGAGCTTAAAAAGGCTCCATTTTTAAATGGAGCAAATAGGTCCATTATTGCTCCTCTAGTCACTGCAAGAAATTCCAGTCCTTAACAGAGGACACCAAAATACTAAGTCCAGAAAAAAAGAAAGTACACTCAAATGTCCTCATAACTAAAAATAACTCATTGAAATAATGATGACTTCTTTTAACAGACATGTTCATTCTACTAAAATGATCAGGTTTAGATGTCCTATGACAAATTATATGCATGGATGAGTTGAAAAAAAAAGAGATGTTAACCAATGCAGTAACAGGTTCTGAACCAATGACCAACAAAACCAGTAAAAAAGGTGATTTTGTGATTAGGGAGCTTTCTAAACATATCCTTAGGGTGTGTGACTCTGGTTTTATGGAAAAGCCACCTAAATCATCTTTTAAGACAGTCAAAACAGATAACTGAGAAGCTAACTTTTGAGCTAAAGAAACTGCTGTTTCTGCAACATCTTTTTACTCTTTTTTTTAACTGAAACTGTTTCTGGCATCCCTATTTTAGGTGCAGTTTAATTGCCCAGTTCAGAAAGAACTGAGTTTATTAATGGAACTCTTCTATGTCCAGATTAACTGATGTGAAAGTGAAAAGGAAGCCACCTTTATTGTAAAGCATAAACTTGATGTGCTCAGGGTCCTCCCCAGTTGCTGTCCTGACATGGACCTGAAGGTTGAGTGACTGCAAGTGCAAGGGACTTGTAAGTATTTTTATTGGTATTTTATTATAGGAGCACTGACCTTCAGGAGTCTCAATGCTACGATAGTATCGAGATTATCATAGTGAAAAATTCAGGTATTTCTATGGGTATCAGTGACATTTTCTTGTAAGAGTTTTATTTTAGACTTAAAGCTCTAAATTCCTGCCTACTGTAATCTTACCAGCACAGCACTGCCAGGTAACGACTGGTGTATAGTGACTTTCTTGGATGTATCCTGAATTAAGCCAGTTAAATGTGTCTCAGATTTTCATAACACTGTAGGAGTGTCAAGAACAACACAAAGCATTGAAGTAGCAAATGTGTAGAATTGGACCTGGTTCCTCTGCTGTTTGGTTTTTCACTCCAAGCACTTTCCATGGTGACAGCAGGCTCGTCTGCCTTCCTTCCTGGCTCCTCCACCCCTGGGAGCCGTTCCGCTGGCCCTGCGGCTGCTGCGCGGCCATGCCGGGACCCAAGGTAAGGAAATGTGGGACTCTTCAGTAGTAGTGAGCTGATGAAGGTCACTTCTTTAAAAGGAGCAATATGATAGTCTCTGAACAGAGAGGAGAAATCCCAGCCAAAGAACTGTCACTCTTGGTCCCTCAGGATTTATGTTTTGTATGTGTTTTTTTGGAGGATTTCTGCTGGGGCTTCCTTTTATCCATGTCTTCTTGTATTTCCAAAGGAAAGGCCTTTATGTTTTCCTTCACACAGGGGAGACAGAACCTTTTGGAGTAGAACAGACTACATTCCTGTAAAAAAAAAACCAACCACCATTATTAGCAGGATACACAAAATGGAAATGCTGAAGTTCTAGTCTCGTTAAACTACATTTATATTTAGAATTCTTCTAAAATTAATTCTTCTTCTAGGCTGGAATATTTCAGCAATTTTTCTTAATAATTCTAAGATCTGGTTAGAGCTAACTGGGTGAAAAATAAACCCTGGGTCTGAAATAAGCACTAACCAAATCAACTGTCCCACTGCTCCCATTAAAGTGACCTTTACCAGCTCCCTGCTGCAGGGAACAGCAACACATCTCCTTCGGCTGCCTTGTCCTTCCAGCATCATCCATGCGTTTCCTGGCCTGAGGACTGAATTCCAGATAGGATTTCTTGGGTAAGCTGGTGCTGCTGTTGCTGATAGATTACTCTTGGAGAGTTAGGCATGAATAAAGATGTAATGGATTCCATTATATTTTGGTTTTACCAAAACAGCAAAGTTTTCCTCTAAAGCTAAATCTTGGCTTATGAAGATTTCTCCCTTCTGGGAGGGTCTTCCAAATTCCTGCACTGGTATGTGAGACTTGCAGTCTCAGCACTCTCTTCCTCACCACTCTCCACAAAAATGGCGTGGAGGCCAACACAAGTATCAAGAAGATATGCAGGGGGCTGTGGGCTCTCACAGACCTTAGCTGCCACTTCTCCATAACTCCCCAAAAACTACTCTTCCTTCTATTAATCTGTGCACCTGTACTGTCCTAGGAGAACACTACAAAGTATCACTATTATATCAATATCACAGAGGTGTCCAATACCCAGAATAGCTACATGAATCAGCTGAGACAATTCAAATGAGATTTCATCCATTACCCACCTTTACCCTCAGTGAATGTACTCACTGGTTAAAACCTCCTCTCTGAACTCTTGATGGCAAAGTATAAAAGCTGCTGTGCACATAGAAGGTATTTTCACTGTCCTTGGAAAGACACTGCGACCAGACAGGCTCCGTTCACAGCTGGTTTGGTTGTCAGCAAGTGCTACAGACCCAGTATTTATCTTTCACCCAGGAGCTGTCACCAGATGTTAGTTACTGAATGGGGAGAAGCAAAACCTATGGAATATTTTAATCTATGTGCAGCATAGAGTTTGAACAACTAGAAGAGAAGCTTATTAATGTATTATTCCTTTGCCCTGCAGCGAGACTGACGTCCTTGGTTCTCCTGACGTGCTGATCACCAAATTCCAAATAGGATTTCATGGGTAAGCTGGAGCTGGTGTTGCTGATGGATTATTCTTGGGGATTTAAGCATGAATAAAGACATCATTTTAGATAGATCTGGACATCTTTTGGGGAGAAATGGATTCCCCGGGTCTTACCTAAATAGCAAAGTTTTTCCCTTGCCATGGTCATTTGTATCTGGCTTTCTTCTGGGAGCTTGGCTTGGCTATTCCTGTGTTTCTGTCCTTGCTTTTGTTTCCTATGTCACTCTCTGGACTTTAGCAGCAGATTCAGCTGGTAATTATATCAAAATCACAATCAGCCTGCTTCCACGTGACTTGGAAGCTTGAGGAACAACTTCTTTCATCTGTTGTCCTTTTCCACACTGATGCAAGGCCCCTTCATATGCAGGAACTAGTGTGAGGCCTTCATCTCTGAAAAGCCCTGAAACTAGATTTCAGTTGCACAACCTCCAGAGCCTATTGGTTTTTGTCTTTTGGTATCCTTAATACGTTAAGCTGCCAGTTGAAAAGGGAGATTAGGTTTGAGTTGGTCCTGCTATTGTTGTCTGTGTTGCAGCCCCCCTGCCCCCGGGTAAGCTCAAGGCTCCCAGTGGTGGCCCCTGGGCCATGGCAGAGAGGGGAGAGGCTGTTCCCCCATCCTGCAGGTGGGATCTCCAAAATTAAGATGCAGCTCCTCACAGGAAACACAGGGGCTCAACTTGCATTCTTTTGGCTGAAATGAATTGCTAGCTGGTGCTGATTTTGGCCGACGGGACTTAGGCACATAGTGACTATGAACCATTGCACACCTGAGTGCTGGGTCCATGTACCCTTAGTCCTCCTCTCTGTCCTAACTCTTCTTTTAATGCCCTATAAATTAAACTTAATACGTAGAGTCAAGCCCTTCTTTTATACCATTATCCTGATGCAGTTCTGTGTTTAATTGGATGATTCTTTAATATATTTTCCTCTTTCCATGACCAAGGCAGGAGGGAGCCATTGAAATTTCAAACTTAATAGTCCAGTTCAGGCGAAACTGAGGTGCCAAAGCATGCTGCCGGAGTTTATTTCTGTTTTGACATGAATCATGTCTGAAAGTAATGTATACAGGGATGGTATCTTTACCACACTATGTAAAGGAATGGTTCTGCCTGTCCGTGCCCAGGACTGACCCTGCATGACTGGAAGCTGAGTGGAAAGTAGCTGTAGTATTACATTTATCACTTAATACCTACACTCATGACCAAGGTCAGTGGTTAGTCACCTTCTGCTGAGCTGAGCAGTAAGGGATGAAACTTGCTCCCCTTCCTCCTTTCTTCCCTCAAAACCACCTCTTTTCCTACCTTTAGTAAGCATTGCAATAAAACAGAAATAACTGTTTTAAATTACTAACATGGTCAGATTATATAATTTTGTCTCCCCTTTTCTGAAAGGGAAATAGGAAGAAGGGCACTCAACCTGCCCAAGGACTTTCAAAAGCCTTTTTATTCTCTTCCTTTTTGTGGGGTTTTGACGGGTTTTAAGACATTACAGATAGTCATTAGAATTATTCCCAGTTGGACCAGAACTAATGGCACTTATCAATACACTGTGATAAAAGATTGGTTGGTTGAGCAGGGTGATACATGCTGCAAGATGACTGGAGTAAATTAACTGAGTGAAACTTCAGAGGATATCTGAAGATGTGAGTTTGTGAGCACTATATAGAACAGTTGCTAAGTCGTGACTTTTATTGGCACAGCAACTGTAAGGAAATACACCTCTGCTAGCATGGGCTGTCTCATGAAAAGCCTAAAGTCTGATCTGTATCTAGGCCTCCTTAGGTGCAAAAGCTAGAATATGAATCCAATCCCTTTGCCAAATCTAAGGTCAGAAAAGTCTTAATTTTGTCACATGTTAGCCTAGCACTGTTTTGAATTTCCATAAAATTGAAAGCAACCTGTCACTAAAACCTTTCCAACTGGTCCAGCTTCTTTGCCAAAGAGGTCCAAGAAAGCATGATATTCTTCAGCTTCAGTTCCTATGTCGTAACATTGTAGAAACATTCAGCCCAGGGCTGAGTTGATCTACTTGGGTCAAGCATAAGCAGGAACCAAAACCAATCCACAGAGACATTATCCTAACTTTGTCTCTCTCTATTGCCTTGGATAAGTTTTTACTTCTCTGGACTTTTAATTTTCCCTACATGAAAGAGGAATAGAATGTGTTTACTTACTTTGTGGTGTGGGTGTTTCAAGCACTAATTATCATTTCTGCAGATCTCTTTCAATGTTACCTAAGCAGTATTGCTAAATACATTTTGAAACCATAGTCATATGTGTGATTCACTATCTGGCCTGGCCAGTTGGGTAAGAAATTTATTCTCAATTATTTACAATCAAGGTTTTACATGCAGTGATACCATCAAGGGAATCTTGAAAACTCAGATAACAAGCAGTAAATGATTGACGTATTTCCACAATAGGCAAAATAAGCAGGACTGTTAAAAAGATTGGAAGAGGCTTCCATTTGGCTCACTGCAAGTGTCTTCTATGCATTGCCATGGCCTGGGTTAACTGAAACCAAGACAAGAAAAAGACCCACCTACATTCACAAAAGCACACTGTGTGCAAAGATCCTGAGAGGCTGAAATGCTGTATTTCTGACAGATTGAACTGCCACACTTGGAAATATCTGTTGAATCCTTCATAAATTCAAGACATTTCATTTGGGAATGAAAATAGCTAAATGTGCTCAGGTTTGTCCAAAATGTGTCTGTGTTGCCTCTGCTGTTAAAAAGGAAGGCTAAACCTGACATTTTAAGGTTGCCTACCAGCTGCTACTCTAATTCAGTTCTTTTTCAGAGAGCGAGCATGGCACGGCACGGGCAGAATCCACAAGAACATACAATTATGTACAATTAACACACGTGCACTGGTAGGACAACGGGGAATGGCTTGCCTTAAAAATAGGCTGTTTGGGTTTTTGCTGATTGATCTTTCTCTAACAGGTCACTGGGACTGAAACAAAAAGAAAAGATTGAAGCAACTTGTTTTGCTTGTTACTTACTGTACCAACACACACTGATCTGCTACACAAACTGCAATGAGAGCCAAGGATGAGGAATTTCTCCTTGTCAGGGGTGAAAGGATCCTTCATGACATAGGCTTCTTCCAAAATCCTGTAAAAGAACAATTTCAAGCTTTTGAGGGTAGATTTCACAGTAGGGGACAGTTAAGAGGGGGAAATTGTGGAGGCCGAAAAGTTATCAGCCCTTTGTACTTGATTTGCTCAGCCTGCTGTTGTACATGAGGCAGTGGAGCAGCCCTGCAGCTCCTTTTCTTTTCAATGCTGCAGCTGCCTTCAGTCCTGTACTGCACTTTCTGTCTTCCAAAATTAGGGCAATTGGTGAGCCTCTCAATGTCGCCTTACTAGGTTTTTCTGAATGCTCTACCTTAAAGTAATTGTTTCTCTTCCATTTTTTATGGCAGGCACTCCTCTGCACGGCCAACTTCAGTACTTTGTCAGGTTACCGTTTCAACTGCACAGCTTTCAGTGAGAGGTTCTCTTCCCGAGCCGCAGGCACGTGAGTATGAAATACAAAGGTGTTACTGCTCTTAGGTATGGCACTGCTGTAAAGCTAAGGTTCCCACCTCTTGAAAGCAGGAGCTACTGCCAGAGCCTTGCAATCACCTGCAGTGTGCTTACTTTATGTCACAGACTGTACTGGTTGCTCCAGGGTATTAAGGGAGTGCATTCATTAATGATTTGGCAACCTGCTTGGGAAACACTACGGCCTTACTCTTCCTGGGAGCTCCAGGCAAAATATTACAGAAGTCAGTTGGGTGTCTGTCTGCACAGGGCACCCAGCAAGGCCGGCTTACTCTTGGGCTTAAGTCAAACTTGGATTCTGGTAGTGATATGGATAAAAGGTATCCTGTTAACTCATACTACCTTCTCCTGCCTATGCACACACACACACAGGTATGTGTGTGCCCACGAGCGTGTTCCTCTCTCCTTTTCCTGCCCACTCAAACAAAAAATGGTATGGCCAGAGCCTTCCACTGTTGGGAAAGATCAGGCATCTTAACACAGCAGATCACTTTGTCAGCAAGTCTCCTGGGACACAAAGACTGGATTACGTGTGCAAAGCTCCCCTTGCAAGGTTCGCAACCCTAACGTAGCCCTCATCATGCAGAGCCCTGGCCACTGCACAAGCCCTCCCATCCAGCACAGGTTTCCTGCACCACTGCTTTTGGGATGTGTGAGTAAGCCAGGAAGCCAGCCAAGAGAGATGGGGTGTGAAGCTGTTTCTTTCTTTTGCTTTTGGCATCTGAGCAACCCAAATAAAGCTGAGATGTTAATGCTGAGCTTGGATAACCTAAAGTTAAGATTCACATTCAGCTTCAACTCAGAGTCTTTAGGAATGGACCTGATCAAAGGTGAGCCATTGCTCTGCTGTGTAGAGGAGGGAAAAACCAGTAGCACTGTAGGATTTGAGATTATAAAAATACAGCTGCCCAAGGAAAACAGCCCAAGCAGGTCATCAACAACTGTTTCCATTCTGTAATACACTGAGTGGTTTTATTGGGGTGAAATGCTGAGTACATGCCTGACTTCCAATCCCAGTGAGCTCCTGACCATGTTTACCTGACAGGTTCATTTACCAAGATGGCCTCCACCAAGCTACTCATGCATTTAAAGCAAAGTGCTTTATTTTATGGGGACTTTAATGTCTGCAGACCAAGTTATAACTGCATAGTTTCTAGTTAAGCTAACCCTACTTAGCAGAGGTGGAAAAGGCTTCAGTCCCTGAAAATGTAAATATGTACTATATATCCACACATTTTAATGCCATACAATGTGACAAGGGATTGTCTAAGTCATGCAAAAAAGCACTGCTGTTAGAACTCCAGGTTGTGTCAAATGGCTCTTAAAAAGTGTTTTTAGCATATATATTTCATTCATGCTGTGTGTATGTATTGCCCAGCTGAGGGAGGCTACTGTGACGAAAGGGCTATTCCCAGAAGTACTAGGCTGGCAGTCAACAGTATTATAGCAAGAAAGTACTGGTGTAGGTGGATAGCAGAGTGGTCAGTGGGGCCAGGAAATAGGTGAAATACAAATCTTTGCATGGCATCAAAGCAGGACGGGAAAGCTGATTTTTGCCTTTGCTATTAACACTGACAATTTTTAACATTCCTTCCCTTTGGAAAAAGAAGATCACTTTAAGTCTCATGTTCAGGGGCAATATGGCACGTTGTTGGGCTCATGCAGTGCACACTGTTGCACAGTACAAGGACTCTAATGCTGGCAGCAGCAATGAGGTCTGTGACCCCAGAGTGCACTTACACGACAGAGCGTGAGTTCGGCGGCCTCGGCCCGTAGTACGTGTAGGGAGCTGTTAACCCACAGAGCTGGCACTCGAACTCTCCTGTAGGCTGAGCTTCTTGAGGAGCATCCATCTTTAGGCTACCTACAACAAACACAAAAAATCTTTTAGCTGGCAGCATGCCTGTAAGGAGATTAAAATGACCTGAGACATCTGGCTATGCAAATTAAAATCCAGTTAAAAACTGATTATTGCAAACCTCGATTAGTAAGTCTTTTCTCCCAAATCAAGCTGGTTTCCCACATCCCAGTTAAATTTTCAAATTTGCTAGACAGGTCTATAAATTGCAGCCAAGGAGCGTAATTTATATCAAGTTCCTACTAACTTGGAACTTGATCTGTGAAAGAATTTAGGTGACAAAGCACAAGGCTTTGATCTGGAATGAGATCTATACTCCCTAAGTGCTTCTCAGCACACGACTCCCTGTCTGCTGCTGTGCAGAATCCCAATCCAGCTCTGCAATGCCTGTCTCCTCCCTCAAACTGCAGACTGGGAGCCATGAAAGGGTTTGGGACCACGCTCAAGAGGCAGGTACCAGAAAGGCAGGAGTCGCAATGATTTACTATGTGTTTTTCTTTGCTTCTGGTTCACCTTCAAATAGAGTTTTGGAAGCTTACCCCTGGCTCCCTGTTCTTGTCTGGCTTCCCATGGAAATGAAGCTAATGTAATCACCTGCACCTAGATAGAGTGTTGGCCCACTCAAGCCACACAGGACAGAGGAGCAGGTACCTTTCAAAAGGTTTAGGTCCTCTAATTTTTATGCAAATAGGCAGAAGGGGAAGACTATGCTTTATCCTCATGAAGGATGCCCCCATACTTCTGCTGAGCAGAGACTGTGCACACAGGAAAGCTGTAGTCCCTCCTTCTGGCAGACTGCAGGCCCGCCCTGCAGAGGCTATCGGTCCCCAGGTAGAAAACACAGCAATTCATGCTTCATCAGCTTTGGTGCTTACAAATTACTTGTTTAAAATCGTGGCCATTGATTTACATTTGGGAGCTTACCCTTCACAAATAGCACTAATATCAGTTGAGAGTCACACCCTGAGCTTTTCCAAAAGCGGGGTGTGATGAGTAGGCTTTTAGGATTGATTTTGCTATGTATACACAGTCCTATCAAGCACAGCTAACCATGTGCCTGCCCAAAAATTGCACCAATCCATGAATGAAGTGTGGTTGCTTGTTTGCAAACCAGGTATCATCCCTCACCTGCACCACTTTCTTGTACAGACGCAATCATCAAGAAGACTACAGCTTTTAGCTAAAAGCCCTCACACTTTGCATGGCATACTGTGTTCTGCTGCCAACTCATCAGCTTTTCTAAGTGAAGTGGAGCTGCCTTCAAGCTGAAGAAGGTAAGCACTAGGAACTCAGATTTGGGTAGTATCTCAGCAGGCAGGTCGTGTGTGCTCACAGCTGAGCACATACACAGCCTGCCAAAGGACAGCAGCTCATTCCCACTACCCCTTCCCTGCAGAGCTGATTCAATCCACTAAGGCCATGTCTCTGTGCTTTAGCTCAGCTCAGGGGTTTTCTTTAGGAACAAATTGCCTGACTGTCCCTCCTTACCACACTGGCTTTGCATCACTGAGCACACAAACCAGACAGTTTCAGACAAAATAAAACCAAAGATGTGCTCCAGAAGCACACCTAACACACACCAACCTGAATGCCCAGCTGGTGGCCATGCAATCTACAGACTGTAACCAGAGGTAAAACTGAAACATCCCAAAACACAGAGAGTGGGCAGCTGGTATACAACATCCAACACCTTGGTCCATGGTTTCAATCTTACTACATCACACTAGTTACTAACGTAGTAACAAATAAAAAAATATTTTTTTTTCTTCTTTTAATGTCTTTTTTTCCCTCCTCTTTCTTTAGGGAACTAAATTGGCTTGCAGAGGAATCCAACAGCTGCCAACAGTAGCACAAGGTAAGAGGCAAAATTGCACCACCAGCAGAAAGGCAGGGCTCAGCTGAGGGACCTGTACATCCCCCCTTTAGTGACAGTAAGCTGCTATTTCTGCCCACCCAGCAGGGTGAAACTGAATCCTTGGAGACATATGCTGCTAAGGTGAATTAGGGGCAAGGTGAAGCAGAGTTGTGACTACTTGTCATCTAATGTTCCAGACGAGCAGGGAGACCCTCAGAGGTGACAGAGGCTTCAGAACAGACACCCAGTTCAGAAAGTCCTAGCCTTCTAAACCCTGAAATTTCATTTTGGAAATCATCTCCCTTACCCCATCATTCCTTTACCACTACCCTTTCCACTGCCATTCCTGGCATTTCAGTAGTGCAGAGCGTTCTTCAAAGGTAACACAAATGGGGCTGAACACTGGTTTAGTAAGTGAATCTGCCTTGTGAATACCTTAGGAAACAACATTTTTTCACAAGTGATATGACCCTTGAACATCATGTATTCTCCCCACCTCACTGGGATGCATGAGGGAATTTTTTAAAGTGCTTTCAGATTTTTCATTTAGTTATAAGGCATGCATATGCTACCTATTTCTCTCTGTATTTTAAATTTAGATTCTTCAAACTATATACAAACTCAGCTTAGAAGCCTGCATTTCGGGATTACCAGGTAAGTCCCCCTGACATACCTAACTCTACCTTTTATGTAGGCAGTCAGTAGCAATACCAAGACACCCACCCATCTGAATTAGATTCAGTTCAACACTTGTATGCAATTTTTTTGTAATCAGTCTTTTTTAAAAAGGGGAAATCATGAACCCCACAGAAGTAAAGTATGGAAAGTCACTTGAATCAAATAGAGTAGAATATAATGGTGATCTTTTCTTTAAAATAATGCAAAATGCTAAGAACCACCACCACAACAACAACAACCAAAAGTATTTATGGCAGTGAGGATCATAGACTTCGGAATGAATGTGTCCTGATCCCAAGTCAAAATAACAGCCCTGGGTTCAGAGCTGAAGTGTGTTAGATATAGAAACACCTGCTCTCTTATAGACCATTGGCATGTAGAACAGAATCTGTTCAATGACTAGCACTGGGAAGGAATGATATCTATGTACAAACAGATTTTTGGCTATGCCAGTTGAAAAGCATATGATCCTGCCTGCAAGGCACAGATGAATTTATGATGCTTTCCAGTTTGTTCCCAGCTTACAAGTCACTGGTATCAGCTGTACCAAGTTTTATTTCACTGGGAACATCATTTGTCCTGAGAGCTCGTCTACACATGAGCACTTGGGAAAGTTAAGGTCACTAAAGGTATGAGGTTAATGAACATACAGATTTCAGAGCGAATGCTCCCACTCAGAAGTTAAATTTGATGTACAACAAAGTGAAGCCATTCTCCTGAAGAAAGATATCTAATGGCAAGTGTATTAAGCTTTCAGTTTCTGCATGTGCTTCACCCCTTTAGTCTAACCCACCCAGCAGACAAGTCCCAAGATGCACTCTTTCACAAAGGGTCACTTCCAAAAAGCTCATTTGCTTTATCATAAAGAACCGTGTCTTTATATCATAAACCCTTAGTCGAGACAGACGTTGGCTTATCACAACAGCAGTTCCTTGGTTTGGCCCTACACACCATCTTAGCAAGGTGCCTGATGTGACAACTGTCACGAGGGGTCTGTGTCCCCTCCAGGCACATGAAGCATGAATGGTTTCCCTCTAGCAAACCAGAGCAGGATAAAGGATCTCTTGAGGAGAAAGTCTAGGGTGCTAATCCCTTCATAACAAGGACAGGCAAATTCGTGACCACAAGTGATCCAAATCATCACCAGTGCCACCACTGGCTTCCTCTCTCTTCCTTGGAAATTCCTGAAGCAGCCCCATGTCCCAGTAATGTGTCAAAAGTCTTACTGGCTGACACGTGCTGAACAGGTCTTTTACATCATCTTGTTTAGAACTGAATTCTGCCCAATTTTTTCCACTTTGACTGGAAGCCACAAGGTACTTGAACACATCCTTGCTTTAAGCACATGCCCAGCTCTTCCGGAGAGCACAGTTACCCACACGTGCTGGGTTACGGAGCAATCACTGACCCAGCACGCAGAAACCTGCCAAGTCAAGCCCAGAATGCTGCAGGACGTCTGTGAAGTTGGCCCACATGTCATGGCCAAGGGTGAAGCACACAGATTTCAGTGCCATAGCAAGGAAATGACTGCAGTGAAAGAAAGGCATGGGTTAGATAGTGCTCTGTTTCTCCATGCTGTCTGCAACTGATACCTGATATGGATGTGGGGAAATGGCTCTCAGTGCAGTTCTCTTGAGACTCCTGAAGACTTCAGAGCAGTTCTGCTTGGAGCACTCTGCTAAGAGGCCTGGAAGGCATGCCAGAAATAATAAATCACCATTAAATTGTCAGAGCCAGTGGCAAAGTAGTGGCACAGATAAGTAATCTGATTTTCTTTGCTTCAAACCTCATCAGCACAAGTCTTTACAATGCATAGGTTAAGCCCCTTTCAGGGGGAGGAGACTCATGTATTTCTGAGTCACTGATAAACTAGAGAAACTACACAAGAAACAAAGTGCCTGTAAACAGAACCAGCCTTTAATTTGAAAGGGTGCCAGATAAAACCAACATTGACACACCTTTAATCCTCTCCAATCAAATCCTTGTTTCTTTTACCTGCCAAGATTTTCCTGCAGTATCCACTGTTGATGACAATGACCTATTAAAATAATCACAGCTTGATTTCCTGCAGAAAGGAGTGCTCTCTAGCAGAAGGGCAGGAGCCACTGAGTTCATAGCCTGGTACATGCCAGCATTTGGTGTGATGGAAATTTAAATACATCAGGAATGCACTTGCCTTCTTCAGAAAAACGATCTGTTGCCTAATTGCTCAGGTAGCAGATGAAACAGCAGAACCTTCTTACTTGCCAGTTAATCCCCAGGGGAACAACTCTCTCCCTCCAGTTCCCTCATGCTACTGCCCTGAAGGCATGTTCAGGTCACCTGTTGGCTGCCTCCCTGCTTTTCCTTTGAGGTGACTTACCTTGGTTTCAGTGTAAATTAGCCCAGGAATGTAATTGCACCAAGCATAGCCATTTGGAATTTTATCCTTATTCCCTCTCCCAGAGATCGAATTTAACCTTGACTTGTTGCAGCAACTTTTCCCTTTGGGCCGGGGGGTTGTGCTGGTATTGCTGTGCTGTCTCAGCTCAGAAGGAACAGGCTGATCCCTGCAGGCTTCCCTCTAGCTACAGGTCACAGAGCAGGCCCCGAGCCTTGCTGTTCAACAACAGCCTCCGTGGCTTACCTGTGGCAGCAGGACAAACATTCTAGGTGGTTGCAGATGTGAAAGGGAGCATGTTTCTTCAACAGGTGTAGGGAATGACTGAACAGGGTGTGCCAGAAGAAAGAGAAGAGTAACACAGACAAGCAGCTCTACAGGCTACAGCTCTAGGTAAGGCTTAAGAATACTGTTTGTTACAGATCTGAGTGTGTGCTGCCTTTCTGCACGTGGCCCGAAGTGTGGTTGGTGAGTAATAACTTCACTAATGTTAGGAAAGTTATGACAAAACAAATGACCAGTGGGGAAGAAGGTGTAGTATAAAGTTACTATGGCCTGCAGTGAAAAGGAGATTTTAAAGCAGGCAGTGGTTCAGGTGTTAGATGGACAGTAAAATGCTGGTGAAAATGCTTTCATCAGGCATTGAGAAAAGGAATATAATGAAACATCTGCTGATCCTTTCTTGCTTTATCCTAGCCTGGAGCAAAGAACAAAGAAGCCAAACCATTGCAACCACAAAGGTAACTAATTCCTTTCTTAATCCAAATCTCAGGTGTGTGCTTATCTATTGGGAGTTTGGGGGCTCTTTACAGCTTTTTTTTTTTATAGATATATTGATTTTTGTGCCAGCAAAAACAGTTTTAGCAAACAGACCGTTGCAAAGGCAATGCACAGGCTAGAGAGCTTGGCATCTCAACAAGCCTGTGGAGCACGTCTCCATTCCAAGTTATTTTAACAGCAGAATCCAAGTATTTTCATACAAGTATCATCAAACTAAAACTTTTGGTCTAAACAACACCAGATTGCTACATCTGCGTGGAATAAAACTTTCAGGGGATCCTTCATCAGGTTCTTGATGTAACCTTGTCATATCTGTAGAGATCACAGACTCTGAGGCAAGTCACAAAGTAAGAGAACGTATCACGTAATGCTCTCGTTATAACAGCTACTTTGCCTGTCATTTATGTGAGAAATTAAGGCAGGAGGGAAACATTTTTGGCATGGGATCCGGAAGCATCAAGGTCTTAAATTTTGTTTATATAAAACATACATTTCAATTGCAAGGATATAGTTATATATCCTTAGTAACTGCTAGTACACAGATCCAACTCTGGCTCATAGGTGCCTAGAGTTGGAAGACAGCTTAAGAGATTATTTGGTCCATCACACCCAAGGCACAACTGGCTTTGTTCTGAAGGCATTTTGCAGTATTTATAGAGACTCCTACCAACCCATGTGTCTTAGAGAGCAAATCTGGATGAAGTGTGAAAGAAAGCCACATGATTAACCTCTCTAAGCAGAGAGACCACTTCTAGCATCACTGAAATATGGAGGTATTTATTTGGGTTCTTAGAGCAGATTTAGAGGGAGGCGGTGGTACCTCATCTCTTATACATCTTGCAAACTTCCTACTCCCCCTCACTTTTCAAAGTGAGATTGTTTCCATGGCTCTGTGGTCCTGTAAACCCAAAGCTGTAACCCCTACATCACTTCATTCAAGTGCAGCCTCATACTAGAATTGTCCACATATGGCAGGAAACAAGGGTTTCCTCTAAGTTCCCCAGACTCCTTAAAGCTCCTTCTCTGTGGATCTCCAAGAGCTGTGTCCCCAAACAGCTCTGAGCTTCTCTGCAATCCTCTCACCAGCCCCTTTGAGGCTCTATCCTGTAGCTCAAACCTCAACTTGCGAAGCTCCTCAGAAAAAGCACTCTGTGGCCACTACACCCAATTAAACAAGCAATATACTTTATATCAAACCCCTCACCAAGAAAAAAAAGAAATCATATTCCAGCTTGGCCTCTGGCCCTGGAATCCCGAGTGTGTGTCCCGTTAAGCAGTGCCCTGGTCAGCAGGTGGTTCGCCCCCTCCCGGTTCCCGGCTCTCCCTCCAGCCGCCAGTTTCTCACCCCTGATTCCCCCCGCCCAGTTCCCGGTTCCCTCCCTGGCTCCCCCTCCCTCCGCAGTTTCCTTTCCCCCCGGCTCCCGTTCTCCGGTTCCCGGTTCCCAGTTTCTCCCTGGCTCCCTTACCGGTTCTCGTTTCCGGTTCCCGCAGCTCCCGCTCCCCCCGCCGTTCCCGGTGTTCCCCCGGCTCCGGTTCCCCCCCCGGTTCCCCTCCCCCCGTTCCCAGTTCCTCCCTGGCTCCCTCCCGGTTCCCGTTCCCGGTTCCCCCCGGCACGTCCCGGCGCGCGGCACCCACCAAGTCCGTTCCGGGTTCGCGCGCGGCCGCCGCGGTCCGGCCCCGGGCGGGCGGCAGAGGGCGCTTGGGGGAACCGTGCGGGGCGGAACTGTGTGCGGGGGGGGGGAGGTGGCAGAAGGCGCTGTGCACCCGTTCCTCGGCCCCGGGTTTCCCGCGGGAACACACCGGCACTGTCGGGTCCCGGGATACTTGCTCGGCCTAAGGGCAGAGTCCTGCTTAGTAAGAAAACCGGGGGCGAGGGAAGTTTTCTGAAAGAAACGTCTACTTAGAGCCTGGCTGTAGTCGAAGCCGTTGTTAATAGCACTGATAAAATGACAGGATGACTGATGAAAACTTGCATGAAAAGAAA